GAGGTTGTGTCGATCCCAGGGCAATAGAGAGGCTTGAAGCATTAGGAAAATATAAAAAATCGATCACACATGGGAGATCGAACTCGCTACCTTCCGGCTTGTAGCATAGTGTCTCAACCAACTACGCTACCGCGTGCCCCAGGTGTGGATGGGAGATACTGAAATTGTCACTCGAGGTGCAGGTTGTGAGAACGGGAGATGGACGGAACTGCATCTGAACGGTGTTCATTTGTTTAGTTTTAGCGGCCTTTAACTCTCTGAATCATATTAAAAGACCATAGAGTACATTTGGAAGTACTCGTGGTTGCATATGAAGATGGTTCTTTCAGGAGAGAACATGAAAATGCCACAGACTTAGATATGGAATATGGAGGACGTTGGCCTGTGTTCATATCTCTTTGAGTTCTGCCCATATACGAGCATGTCCTCTTACTCACATGTTCAACTTCTGAAATCACATAACGAACTTTTATACGATTTGATGTGGACAGCTACACTGGAAAACGTGTGTAAAATTTAATTTCAGTTCCTATAGGTCTATCATAACCAGTGCTATAAGTCTACATTATACTGTAGAATGTAGACCTTTGCTAAGTAATGACTCTATAAACGCCCGCTGCTAGACAACGATCACAATAAAGCAAATGCACGCCAGTAGTTACTGAGTAATGGCTTCACAAGCAAACATGTTCCCAGGGAAAAGACTGAGCTACAACAATATGGAAACATATTTTCTACGTGATCCGTGCCAAGGGGTCACCTACGCGACAAGTTAGGGTCTGCTTTGCAAATTAATGAAGATAAGACTCAGGTGATCTACTCTTCTCGCACTCCTCGACCTCCTGAGTCCATCTAACACCGAGTGGAAGAAACAGCGCATTTGTAGATAGTGTAAAGTATCTCGGTGTAAACTCTGATAAGAAATTTGCACGGAGATTGCAGATAGAAATGATCGAAGTTGAGCGGGCACCCTGTCTGGTTTTTGATGCGACGGTGAAGAGAAAAATCCGTTCTTCTGTCGGAAACTAAAGTCCAATGTACAAAAATGGTCTTCTACAAGTAAATTTGGCCGTTAGTCGCTGACTGCCCAGCGCGGCTGCCAGGGTTCGATCCCGGGGTCTGGTCAAGTGGAATTTGTGGTGGACAAAGTGGGGCTGGGGCAGGTTTTCTCCGAGTACTTCGGTTTCCCTTGCCAGTCTTCTTTCCACAATTTGCTCCACAATCACCCTCACCTATCATCTGGGGCTGGTAAAATAGGCCAGAAGTGGCCGCAGTTTAAGTGACTTAGTCCCACCCCACTAGTAATAATGAAAAATACAAGTAAATTAACTTAAATGGATCTCCTCAAATACAAGTAACTCTCAACTACATCTGTGCCAAATGTCATAACCACAGGTCTTGTAACTGCTTAGAAAACACACCGAATTATATACAATTTACATTTCGACGATAAGGCTCGCAACTTTCCCGTAACACAATACTCAGCTGCGGGAGGCATTTCAGCGCTTCTAAATAAAAGATTTACATTTTCCAACATGAAGCACCATGAAACTACACATAAATCATGCCAAAATGTTCAAATTTTTAGGTGGCAGCAACTTAGATGGAGTGGCCAGTTTCGTTTGTGGCTGGCTGTGTTTTTTGTGGTACGGTTGATCAAAAGTGGCCAGTACAAAACGCGGAGCGACCTTGCGTGAGAGGCCTAAGTCAGTCACGTTACTATGAACAGCTATTGAGACCAGCTTCTGGTTGCAATTTGAATTTAGCAGGGTTGTCAACATACCGAAACTCCGAAACTACGTTCTCTGTTCAGGAAATTCTTTCAACGCCACGGCATTTGTTATTCACGATATCTTCAGCGTGAATATTTTTCTTCTCTCTTCTCATTTCTTTCTTGTCTCCTTTACTTTTTAGTTTCTATATCCCTCTTCAGAACCTACAGTGGGAAAAGAATTGTCTAAAAGCATTATCTCTATTATTGTTACTGTTCCGATCTGGAAAACCGCGATCTGTTGCGCTGACCACGTGACTCCCTCTGTCCTTAAAAGTTTGCACTAACTTCGCCGACAAGTGATGGTCGCTCGGTCGGTATAGTTCGCTTGCGGACTACAGACCAAGGACGACATGTCTCACGTTTCAATTGGAACTTAACTTTTGAAACTGAGAATCTTTTAGATTTTTGGAAGAACTCCTTTGGGGATTTGCCCATTCCAAGGCCTCTGCATAAACAGGACAGCACAAACTCGCACAAATATCCATGAGTAAAGTGGGATTCGAACCAGGAACTGAACTACTCAAGAAGTAAAAGACATACAGAATTACTGGGTTTTTTGGACTTTTTCCATCGTAAAAGACACCATGAGCCTTAAATCTCAAGGTCACTGTGTTCATCTCTCTCTCTTTCTCTCTGTCTCTCGCTGAAGCTCTTGAAGAAGATGCTGTGACTTAAATTCTGCTCGACTTCGTTACAAGAATAACATAACTACACTCACCTCCCTTTGCCCGCACACTGTCACCTTTGGTGGCGGTGTTAAGCATGCTAATTGCTGGTCCTATCGTGCATCCTTACTCATATAGCGACGTCATCGGACGTTATGTGATAAGCACACTACCAAATGGAAGGTAACTTCACACGTTTCAATTTACACGGCCATACTAGCTTCTTCTTCCTTCTCCTCTCCCTCGTGACGGATTAGGCCCTCTGGCCTGTGCGAATTCAGAATTAATCTGAAACTATGAATCTTATAGACAGATTATAGGTCTCCTTGGACGGGAGATCAGCCCGTCGCAAGGCCGCTACTCTACGCAGAACAACAGAAACATAGAACAAATACAAACACATATGCTTCGAGTGGGATTCCAACACATGATCCCAGTGTTTCAGCGGCCAAAGGCATTTCGTGTCGCCGACAGCGCGGCCACTGTGACCAACGGCAAGACTACCAAGAACTGTAAATTCGCAATTGTTTAATTTTACCATCCATTTATGTACATAGATTTCTTTTCTTTTTTCCAGAATGCCAAAAAGTGTGACAATTAAGTTCCCGAAATGAGCCCATAAAAGAACATACAAAAAAGATGAGTCCCCGCCAGCTTTTACGTCGCTCATACAAAGAATCGAATGCCCGAGGAATCGCTTCTTCTCGAATCGCCTTCAATATTCTCGTCACAGTCTGCTGGATTGATGAAACAGCATCAAATCTCGTCCCTTTCATCGCAGTTTTAAATTTATGGAACAAAAAAACTCAGCCTGTTATAAATCAGGAGATCAGGGTGGATGGGATAACAGGGGGATCCCTCGTTTCGCTGAAAACTCGGAGACAACGCCCGAAGAATGCGCTGTGGCATTGTAGTGCAGAATATACCAGGACCCACTTTCCTGAAACTCAGACCTCAGGAAATTAACTCCAGCGATGAACCTCTTAATCGCCTCTCTATAAAATTTACCGTTCATAGTCTCTTTTCCAGCACAAATTCATGATGAACAATACTTTTAGCATCAAAAATGCAGTCAACATTATTTTCACCCGCGAGTTTTGCATTCTCACTTTCTGAGTCTCTTTGAACCTTTTATGTCACGCTTGTTCTCGATAAATATTTCTCATCGTACGCACTTTTAAACATTTCTAACGTTTCGGTTGCCGTTTTCTGTAATGTTACACAAAACGAAAATGCTGCTCTTTGTTCCATTTTGAAACTTTCGACACGACGGAAAAACTAACTTCACCAAAACAATTGTAATCCTCATATTCATGAACCAAATAAGTTGAAACTTGCACATCATATACATATAAATATATTTTTATTGCTGGTGGGGTGGAACCTAAGTCCCTTGTACTGCAGCCACGTCTGGTCTATTGTACCAGCCCCAGATGATAGGTGAGGGTGATTGTGTAGCAATTGGTGGAATGAAGATTGGCAGGGGAAACCGAAGTACTCGGAGAAAAAACCTTCCCAGCGCCACTTTGTCCACCAGAAATCCCACTTGACCAGGCCCGGGATCGAACCCTGGCCTCCGCGGTGGGAAGCCAGCGACTAACCGCTTGAGCTATGGCGCGGCCCACTAGTAACATTACTGTAATAGCGTCAGTTCGGGAGCTTAATTTTCACACTGCGCATATTGTTGTATATGGTGACACCTGATATAGATTATTGTATAAGGCATGGTGATGCTTACTATAAACTATGGTATATGTTAATACCCATGTGGTATATGGGGATATATAGTATGAAATGAATTGTTTTATTGATATAATATGTTATATTGTAATATTAGAAATAGACTGTACCTCATGTATACACAGTATGAGGAATCGAGTGTACCAACAGGAAATATCAAGGGATTAACTTCGGGAAGGATCAAAAGATTAGAACTTTGTCCTTCACCGATGCTGTCATGAGAACGATGCTTGTTTCTTACTAAGAACAGAACAGCTGTGGACCCTCCGAAAACTCAAGAGGGTGATGATGCAATGAATGACGTTAGTCAGATTACTTCAGAAGGGTAACGCCCTAACTGGACCAGATATATACCACACGGGGCGTAAGTAAAGGTGCTTTTTGATATCGACACTGCCTGAGCTATCCATTAAGTGGAGCAGGTGCTGTCAGATACCAGGAGTCGGCCACTGCCCATTGTTCAGGCAGACCACTGATTTCTTACCAACAGGTTCCTCTCTCTGATTTTGTACAGTATCAATAAATGTATTTAATATCAAGTTGCAGTACTCTCACACCACGCACTGACTCCCAAGGGAACCGCTCGCACTGCCAACCTGCAATGTATCCCATCCACGGGATACAACAATATATACAGAATTAAATACAGTCGCCATATTAGTAGACGTAACAACAGTAAGTTAACCTAAAACACTCTCTCATATTAACGGAAATGTTCAGATTTAAACCTGTCAGTCAGTTTGTAGAAGGGCATCACAGCGTTGTGAGTTGTGCATTGAACATAGTGGATCTAATTTCCAGCATTTTTTAAAGAAAAACAATTTTTAAACTGGAGGAGATTTTAATTTTGAATGATATTATTGAAAAAATGCTACGATTATAACATAAGTGCTGTATGTATGTACATATTTCTCCTTAAAGTAACTTGGAACAGACGCCATCATGGCAATTGTATGGATTCCTGCAGACGATGTGGAAGCCAGGATGTGTTGATATACAAGAGTGTCCTCCCTCTGGAAAAGAAATATTTTATCAGCCTTCGTTCTTTTCATTGATTTACATATTATTCAACCACTGTCTAATTTTTGACTTACTTGAATACGAATTTTCAGTCACATACTATGGCGATATTATATCACGTGTTAGTGACTTTACATGGGGTTTGGATTGGTAACTGGATATATTGAACACTTATAACTATAGTAACTATAGATAACTATAACAGCGGCATTGATTTTCATTCTAAAGATCATTACAACTACCGCACGTATAAAGTACTATGTGTGTTTACTAGTCATTGTCAGGTGTCGATTGCTAATAATGCAAATCGAGACTGACTGTTAACCGCCGACTCCGACTTCTAACTGCCGATTCACTGGCTTCAAGGTCAAGGTCAAAGTCACGTTACGACCGACGGTTATTCGGCCAAACAGTCTCGGTGTCAAGCCCCATGTGGGGCCCAAGACCAGATTTCGTTACTTTCAGATGGATGCGGTTTTGTGGATGTGGAGCGCCCTTTCTGTCACGGGGAAGGGTCTATTACCGCGGTCATAGCCAGTAGTACATGCCATCTACGTTTACAATTTCACATATCGGCATACAACGTAGCCAGTTTTCAAGAGACCGGTTCCTTCTGGATAAAGTCCATTTACAGTTTTCCAATCGTCGGCAACATTTGCATTTTCATAACTTTGTAAGACCTCTACTTGCTGCCTGCACAATTCCTTTATTCCAAATCTGTGAATTCCATTTTTGATTTGTGGAGGTCCCGGGGTTATCGCTCCGGTTGATCCCCTTTAAATCCGATCCTGTTCTTCTTGTAAAGAAATATCTGTCCAGAAGAATTGTTGTTTGGGTGATATGCTGAGGAAATATTTGTTGAGTCCTGTATGTATGTATGCATTGTACGAGTATGTATTTTATACATATTGTAACATCACGCAAGAGGCCACGCCATAGCTCAAGCGGTTAGTCGCTGACTTCCCACCGCGGCGGCTCGGGTTCGATCCCTGGTCTGGTCAAGTGGGATTTGTGGTGGACAAAGTGTCGCTGGGGCAGGTTTTCTCCGAGTCCTTCGGTTTCCCTTGCCAATCTTCATTCCACCAATTTCTCCACAATCACCCTCACGTATCATCTGGGGCTGGTACAATAGGCCAGAAGTGGCCGCGGTACAAAGGACTTAGTCCCACCCCACTAGCAATAAAAATAACATCATGCATGAAGGCCGGAATAGTGAAACCGGAGGAGACGTTCATTGCTAGGCAACGGTTCGGTAAACACATTCCCGCGGCAAAGAATACGCAAGCAACAATTGAGGTGTTGTTGGAAATGGTGTTTTCTATCCGTTCCGTGCAAAGTGGTTATAAAGGAAGAGCGCTGAGGTTTGGTCACATCCACCGTCACCCTGCGAGTAGTAGGATACGACGAAAAGGGAAGTCTCAAATCCGAGACAAAATATGGTCACGAGTACCATGGGACTCGGACCCGAGAAAGACTGCCCTGGCAAGGGCCAGCAGCATATACAAAAGACAGACCTGTCCTCTCGTCAGAGAGGGCGCCCCACAGAAACAAGACCGTAACTATCAAACAGTAATCAATATCTGGTCATGAGCTCCAGATGACGCTCGGAATCAAGACTTATTGACTGACTCACTGGCCGTCAGTCGCAATGTGACTTTGACTTTGACTTTGATTTGACGTTTGTAGTGCTGCGTACATTTGAGCTCTGCAAAGGTGGCTGAGAACAGATGGCGATCCAGTTCAGTTGAGGGAATAGCAAGTAGGCAGTTCTGAGCGAGAGTCGGTGAAGGAAGGACCTGAGAGCGGGAAGCTGAAGAATCTCCATTGTTAGAAGCCGTTTTCAGGGAACGGCTGGTGAAGACACAACAAGCTGGAAAATGCTTAGCGGATGCTGTGATTAAATGTGAATTGTGGAGTTTAGTGATTGTGTTGTAATTACTTGCAGTTCCAAATGTTGTGTACAAGGTGTCAATAAATCCAATTTCAAATCCGTATACTGTCTATAGCCAGAATGTGACCACAAATGATATTTAGAACTTGGGAAATTTGTTGAGAAACAAGTCAGACAAGAGAATGCATGCGAACTTTTAGACATTAGATTACACGTGTCGATGTCTTGAATAGAAGCGTAGATATGCAATCGCAGTGACACTCGTATGCCGCTAGGGGCACTGCATTCGACAAAATGGAGACATTTCTGCGGAAAGCGAAGTGTGTCCTGTGTTTTAATAAAACCAAACGTGCGAAACGAGTTAAGCGACGCTGAATTTAGAATGGATTCACTTTCTAAACCATCCATTTACGTATTATACAAACATTTCTGTGAGACAGGCTGTCTGTATACAGGAAAATTTCCCTTTGCTGCAAAATATATGGATGAAACTGGAATAAAAATTTGATGCGTATACAGTTTACCAATAATCCACATACTGAATGTGTCTAAGTAATAAAGTAACCTTGACATTTGCAGTCTAAATATTCGATTTTGTGTCTTGTGTAATTTCTTACCAATAAATATCCGAAATTGTAAAGATCATTTATGCTCAGCCTGTAAATTAACATAAGTTTAGAGCCCTGAGATTCAGGTTAGGAGAATGTGATTTATAATGTGGACTCACCCACTATCACCAAACAAAATGGACAGCATTTGCCAATACTGGGTTCTTTCTGAAAGAATTCCCCAGGGCAGATTTTTTCTTCCATCCAAGCGCACTTGACGGCATGACAATCAGTCACATTGTTGCCGTGAGTTGCCAGCGTGAGACAAGCGAAGATGAGGAACAGCAGCGTGGCTCGATCCATCTGTAAAGATAATCCGTTGTGACCCGAGAAAAGCAAACCACACATCGCATAGGTTACTGTTAAAACATCTCATCAAGAAACTAGAAAGTCAGTTACATTGGTACTGGACTACGTACTGAACTCACTGACTTTCTCGAAGTATTACTCAGGCACTATAGAGAAATCTTTGGGTTATTATTAATTTCATACATACAGACTATACGATTATCATAAAATCATAGAAAATACTTTATAAGCCCGAATACTAAGCGATCCCATAATTTTCCAGCGAGAAAATCAGGGGGGAAATTGACAAAATTGAGTAAGTCGTCTAGTTCTGAGGGTTTATGCAAAAATAAGTAAAACCATACTATTAAGGAATAATACATTCAAAATTTAGTACCTTAAATATAATTCTGCTTAGCTTCAAAATATCTTTAGAATAACAATCAGAACTCATAATCATCTGCTCCTTATTCTTTCTTAAGGACCCGAAAACAAGGCGAAACCCCTCTTCTAAGAAGCAGTATTAAAAGAAACCATCGACTTATATTCGGATATTTGGTTGAGGGGCTATGTTACAAGCCGAAAGTTGCGGGTTCAAGTCCCGATGAGGTCATTGGATTTTTTCAATTGACCTAATCCTTCCAACCACACTAAGTCCCTGGGGTTGACTCAGCCTCTAGCAGAAATGAGTACCAGAAATTAAATAAATAATTTTCCCGGGGAGTAAAGCGCGGCCGGCGCGTAAGGCTGACAACCTTACCGCCATCTTTGAGCCGATTGTCTAGATAATGTGGGACTCTCAACGTCTCACAACCCTATGGGCCTTCACGGCCTGGTACAGGGATAGCTTTACTTTTTTTTTTAATTTTACTTTACTAATAAGGTAATAATATAAAGAGATAAAACAACGAAAAACGAATGAAACTATTGTAAAATAAAACAAAATTTTCCCTCATTTAAGGAACATAGTTATTAAATTGCACACTAATCAGCACATTGACTTATAGATTGTACAATCTGATTGTTAGTAAAGCAGAGGATAAAAAAAATATTAAGGAACAAATGCTGATTTCAGCCTGAGCTTCAACAATTTATAGCGCCCGCAGATTCAAGGGATAGGAGCGGAACTTAACATACAACAGCCGTAGAACTGCATGCCGGTTATAATGTTACAAAATGTCGTGCTGACGCTCACATAGATACCCCCACCCTGACCCCTCTATGGTGCAGCTGTTTTTCGATCAATAGGTGCGCTGTGTGAAAACGTTCTAACCAATGGCTGAGTGACATTTGGCGTTATATTAATCATCAGTTGCAAGCTTGCTACTCTGCAAGCCATATCATTACGAAACGTTAACATATTTTTGTATTATTCATCGTCAAAACATCAGATAACCAACATTGTTCTCATTTCCGAAATCCTATGTGTTTATTTTTATATTATTAAGGAATTAACATACATACTTACAATACTTTAATTTAAGATGAATAAAATCATATACTTTGTTGCCTAACAATCTGAAAAAAATTATTTTAGGTTTAGGTTTAAAAACAATAACTCAGTACAAAATTTCATTAAATTAAAAATAGCTCCAATGATTGCGAGCTGCAAGGAAATTCAGAAGGACGGACAACAGACTGGTTGTCATAGCTCTCAGTGATGCAGCTCCACATTTTGTGGAATACAGAAAACATGGATAAATCTTCAAAATATCAGCAGTTCTACATACAAGAGAAAAAGATTTTCCCTCTCTAATTACTATTTTGATTTAACGCAGATAAATCATGGCAATACAGGACTAAAATTAATCAAATTAAATAACCTCAAAATAATGACAAAATGAGCTAGAACCACTAAGAACTAGGACAAAGAATTCTTTCAATTCTGCATTAATTTTAACACGAGAACCATAAGCTTGTTCAGAGTGACGCTTCTATCATCTGATACATATCTCGAACAAACCGTGTTTCTTATTAATAATAAACAACACTTGCAATATGTGGCAGGTCTCAGTGAGAGAAAAAGTTTTCTGTTCTTAATAGAATCCCTCAACATTTCTATATGATATAAATTAAAACTTAGAAGTTCAAGTTATAATGAAACTTACTTTGAAGTGGAATGAAAGCCGTCTGCCTACTTTGGCTTGAAGTTCGTAACTGTAAACAGCTTTGTGAGAACGAGGCAAGGATTCATCTTGTCACCTTGTCACCAGAGACTGTAGCAAAGTACGTGTTACGTGCTAAGTCGGCCCATGAACGGAACGCCTGAAGCTTTCTCTCGCTCCGCGCGTCCGTGGAGGTAGGCTGCCTAGGGCGCCTAGGGTTATGTAATAGAACTTTCCATGCTATCCACGGGACACTGCAGTTTGTGTCTGCACTGGTGGCGACTTGCCACACTACCAGCCGCTGAATGCCAGAACATTAACGGCAACTGCGATTTAACAGGTCCGTCTGTTATTGTTTAAGGCGACTGAGCAAACGAACAAATTGTCACGTAGCATGTTTGACTATAGAGGAGGTTCAGATTGGTAAATAGATATATTGACCACTTATAGGTCTAACTACAAACAACTATAACACTATCGCTATTTCCACACTTTACAGTTCACTAGAGCACACAGTCTAGTGTTCTGAGTTTATCATTAGAAGTTTCCTGGTAACTGCTCCAACAATGGCTATTTGTTTGCCTCTGGCTCAAGTCCTTTGTTCGCACACTCCTGTACAGAACTGAATAAACTTTCAAGGTCAAAGTCAAAGTCACACTGTGGCTGACGGTCGGTCAGTCAGCCGGTAATTCTTGATGTCGAGCCCCATCTGGGGCTCATGTCCAGTTATTTATTACTGTTTGACAGTTTAGGTCTTGTTTTTATGGGGCGCTATCTCTGACAAAAGGGCGGATCTATCTTCTATATATGCTGCTGGCCCTTGCCATTGCAGTCTTTCTCGGGTCCGAGTTCCTTGGTACTCGCGACTTTGTATTACTGTCTCAGATTTCAGACTTCCTTTTTCATCGTCTCCTACGACTCGCAGGGTCACGGTGGAGGTATTCGGCCCGGCCTCCACACGGGTTTGAATAAACTCTAATTTGTCCCTTGCTTGTGACATCTCAGGACAGGCCATATAGAAAAAAACAGATCTTATATTGCTGTGTTAGTGTCTGTTAATGCGGAAACGTGTTTAACGAGCCGTTGCCCAGAAACGACCCTGGTATACCGCTACGTAGTAACGGCTCTACACGCTACAATATACACGAAACTCAAAACGGGATTACGATAAATGATTATGATTTATTAAATAATATTTAAAAATGTCATCAATAGCTCGGGCTATGAATGATTTAATGATCAATAAATTACGAATTGTAAAAACGTGGAAAGAAGCGACCGTCACCAATTCCAAGGCACTATCCCGACATGGCCTGGAGTTAAATTTCGTTTTTTAAGTTTGTTATTTAACAATGCTACCGCCTTTGTAGTCTATTGGCCAGAGTTCCTAGTTACAGATCCAGAGGTCCCGGGTTCGATTCCCGGCGCCACCATGTTTTCTGAGAAGTAACGGCTCTGGAACGGGGTCCACTCAGCCTCGTGAGGATAATTGAGGAGCTATATTAAGGAAATAGCGTCTCCGGTCTAGAAAACCGAGATTATCGGCCGTGGGGATTCGTTGCGCTGACCACGCGACAACCTCTATCCACTGAAGTTGGCACTAACTTCGCCGACAAGCGGCGGTCGCTCGATCGGTATAGTTCGCTTGTGGGCTACAGGCCACGGAGTGTGTCAGCATTGAGTCATGTAGAGTGATGATATAGTGATGAGTACGGAGCAGTGGGTGAAATGAGGGCTGGCAGGGGAAACGGAAGTACTCGGAGAACACCTGCCCCAGAGTCACTATGTCCACCACAAATTTCACATGAAGTGGCCTGGGATCGAATCCGGGTCGCAGCGGTGGGAATTCGGCGACTAACCACATGACCTACGCCTCGGTCCCCATTCGTCTTGAGGGGCTGAGGAGAATGACGAATTGCCTGAGCCAAGAAAGTGAGTGTTCTGGCTGAGATTCGAACCGAGCATCTCCTGAATTCAAGTCAGAAGCCTTAAGGCCTGAGAAAACTTGTTGGGCAAGGAAATCCTAGAACGAAGTAAAATAATTAATTAAGTATATTTGGCCTCAATTAATATAACTGTAACTATCTAATTCTTCTTGTTCGCGGTCACGGTAGCCGAGCGGTCTAAGGTATATACTGTCTTCGCTCGCTCGGAAGCCGGGACCGTGGGTTCGAATCTGTTTCCTGTGAGGTACGATCTGGATTCTTATATATTATTCTTATACAGTGCCGGCCACGGTAGCCGAGCGGTCTAAGGCATGTACTGTCTTCGCTCGCTTGGAAACCGGGATCGTGGGTTCGCATCGCACATAAGGCATGGATGTTTGGTATGTATATGTGTTTNTGTGTGTGTGTGTGTAATGTAGAGCAACAGCAAGACTCTAAGGAAAAAGAAGAGAAGGTACTAATTCGTGTTTATAGCATGACAAAATAAACATTCGTCATGCTGATGAAAGTACAGTTAAGAATCAAGGAAAACATCAAGGTCTTCAGTACAACTTGTATGCATAATGCGGGAGTTAACAATGGGCACGGGCGAAAGTCAGCACATTAATCTTTCTGAAGAAATAGACAACTTTTTCTTTCCAAAATTAAGCTTCATATGATAGTGGCACAACAATTTTGGGCACATGGTAGCGTAGTTGTTTGAAGCACTATGTTACAAGCCAGAAGGTCGCAGGGGTCATTGGATTTTCTTTCTTCAATTTACCTAATCCTTCCAGACGCATATGACCCTGGTTCAACTCAGCCTCTAACAGAAATGAGTACCAGGAATTCTACTGGGGTGTAAAGGGCTGCCGGCGCGTAAGGCTGACAACCTCACCGCCATCTGTGAGCCGATCGTTTAGTACATGTGAAAGCCTCGACGTCTCACAACACTATGGACCTATACGGCCTGTTACAGGGGCAGCTTTACCTTCTGATATTATTTCATACCGTCAGAAGAATGAAGAAAACAGGAATGATTAATTTGATTCTGAAGGTTTCTGACGATGATTCATGACACTTGAGATTACTGGGATTTTGGACTTTTTCTATCGTCCGATATTCTGAAGGACACTGAAGAACACAACGTCTCGGTAACTGGATCTGTTTCCATCCTAAAATAAAGGGGTTCGGAGACTCATGCTCTGTTGGGTCCGTTAGAAAGGGCTGACTTTATCGCTGGATGTGCGCTCTTTCTAACGGACCCAACGGAGGTGTCTCCCAACCCCTCACCTGAGGACGGAAACATTTCCAGTTACCGAAACGTTGTATTCTTTAGAATACCGGACGATTGGTGAAGTCCACAAACAGAGTAATCCCAAGGAAGGCATAATTTTACTGCAATAACCATTAATCAGAAAAACCTTGAGGAAAAGCGGGAAGCATAATGAAGGGCGCTGGAAGGAGCCCACAATAAATAAACCGAACACGGTCTACTGGTTACCTAACTGCAAAATAAGTTATCATAGTCAGTAGGCGGGCCATAACAACGGTACCAAGCTTCTCTGAAAACCAAGGATACAAAACATACATTAAACTGTCCTCAAGAACATACAACGGGAGTCAAGTTAGAGAAACGTGAACAAATTCGTAATGGTTGGTTCAACTCGATCTTAAAATAACGGGAAATGTGCTCACAAATAACGATTTAAAGTACCTTAGAAGGAGAGTTGAGTATGGGCAATATTTACACACACAGGTTATGTCGTCTTCCTTACAGAACGAAACAGTCGCTGCTTTATTCCACGCAACAGGAACTGTAGGAAGAAAAACGTAACAAGAAATTCTGGAAAGAACATATCGCATACATCCTTTGATACGACACAGAGCGCATAGAAAACGACCTGTACAACAATTCTTCTATAGTTGTTTGTGTATTTATTGCAGCAGTAACGTTTTTACCGAGCCGTTGCCTAGCAACGATAAGGGGGTACACATGTAGATACAGAGTGATGGGAGGAATTTATGAAGTACGCCATTGAGATGGGTTAAGATGCCATTATGTACATACTAACCTTGGTACAGATTGGTTCAGGCATTCAAATGTTTATAAAGGGGGATACACAGACACACAGAGAGCACGGCGATCTCATAAGCTTACTTTAATTCTTTAGAATAAGAGAAATGGTGATGGGGCAAAATCTGAGTTACCATTTACAGCGGAGGTAGCGCTAGATTTGTTGGACGCAACGCTTGACAGCTTCACAGCCTAATTTAATGGAACTTTATTTGCGAACTGAACAGACAAACTTGTCTCAGTAGTCCGTTTGAACACAATTTAATATGTGCTATCCTACATTTTACGCTACAAGAAGGGTCATCATGTCATTTGCCACCGTTTTCATTCGCGTGTCTCCCAAGCAAGTCTCGAACCAATTCACGAGAGGGATGCAAACTTCTTTACGGAAGTTGATTATAAACACACCCACAAATTCTGCATTCGGTAAGTATTTTTGTAGAGCCGGGACAGCTTAGTCAGTATTGTGATGAGCTACGGTCTGGAAGACCCGTGTTCTCTTCCTGAGAGGGGCAGAATTTTCTTTTCTCAATAGCGTCCAGACCGGCTCTGGGCCTCCTGTCAAATGAGTACCGCGGGCTTTTCCCAGGGAGTAAAGCGGCCGGGACTTGAAGCGACAATTCAACTTCATCTACTGCATATGTCAAGAAAGGTGAAGCTATACCCTCACTCCTCCATACTTCTTAATGGTGTGGTGCTTAATTAAGCACAGAGATTTAACATTTTTTGTGTCTGTGTCCTTAAGGAATACCGAGTTTCGGGAATTAGTCTATCGTCCGGTATTCAAAATGACACATCGTTTAGGAAACTGGAATTTACCATCCTCAGATGCAAGGGGGGGGGGAACCATTAGAAAGAGCTAACCTCAATCATAGTCAAGTGATTGAGACTAGCTCTTTCTAATGGACCCAGCAGAGTAGATGGTCCCCACTCTCTCACCTGAGGGCGGTAGCAGTGTATGCACAGTGGCAAGATCTCTTATATGGTGACAAATATAAATATGGCGGCCTTAGAATGTCTTTCAATTTATCTGATATAATTGAAATGAGTCTGTAGTGAGTTGATCACAGTGGCCGCATTGCCTAAGGCAAGAAATAGCTTCGCTCGCTCGAACAATGGGATCGTGGGTTCGAATTCCAGTCGAGGCATGAAAGTTTGTCTGCGTTTATTCTGTGTTTGTGTTGTCCTATGCAGGTAGCGGTCTTTTGGTCCGC